TTTCCATATGATAATTGTCACGTTTACATCTCTCGTAATTTCACCTGTCTCGCAAGATTTCTAATTTAATTTTCGGTTATTGTATTATAACTATGTGTGTAAGTGTGTAACAAGTTAACGAATATAATAGGATATGTGACATATATGACTAGTTTTTACATGTTGTTGACTGACATGTCTGACAATGGAGAAACCCAGAGTTAATCACATAGATTAAGTTTATAATCACTCTTATTGGATTGATACATAGTCCGACAAAGGAGAAGCAATGACTTCTGTTCAGAATTGGATTGTCCGACTAAGGATTAAGTCTATTTTGAACTCTTAATTACTTAATCAATCCAGCCTATTATCAACGATAATCGGGTTGAGCGGTAGACAGAACGTAGTACACTATATTAATTTTGGAATTTTGAATATTGTTCACCATGTTTTGATGTCCGATTGGGCATATTCCTGGTTGGAAAATTCAGGATGTTTGGAAAATAGCGCCGGACATGTCTGGAATATATGAGTGAAATGCCATCACTGTCCTAGTGTGTATGGCCTTGCAATGATATATACCATGGGATCTTCACCTACATTATAGTTATATAGGTTAATTGTTGACCAATTATATCAAAGATTAAAATACAGAAATGAATGATAGACTTAACATGTACACGATCATTGTTTTCACCATCTTGAATTTATCTCTATGTCAATATTTTTATGTAGTAATTGAGGTAAAGATCTAGGATATTACTTTACTAGGTAAATAGTTTAACATGACCAGGAATTAATTATAACTGACAAGGTCAGTAGAAGAAAACAGAAGAAAAAGCTAAGAATATGAGTTTAAGCTGCTTTTTAAATAAATTTCTTTAAAATGAAATCAAATGAAATGGGGTTTATCGTTCTACTGTTCTGCTCTGACTGGACTAATGAAAATGGGCATACACCATACAGTGTACTACGAGGGAAATTTTGCCCAGACAGTAGCGCTAAGGGGCCTCGGTTTTTCGTATTTTCCAAACGACTTTATGTTGTGCTTGCCAGCCCTCTGTTCTGCACCAATGTCTTACTCACTGAGCACCATTGCTCCCAATTCTCGTTTAACACTGGGTCTTTGGAAAATAAACTTTGTTTATGTATGCTAATCAAATGCCTAAAAATGTGAAAAAATAGCCTATTTATAATTTTAACATGAACCACCTTACTATAACTCAAATAGTAAGTAATACTTTATCATAGTGGTAGCGACACAGAAATTTTTACCAGATATTTTGCAGTTGCTAGTGGTAACTACCATGTGGTTTAGAAAAAAATGTGTGATCGTTCGGATGGAGAAAAAAGTTAAGGTTATGTGTACATTGGACAGGACAAAGACCCCTAAGCGGTATGTTGCTCCCCCACATTGCACATACCATGCATGTAATGATGGAAACTGAATACATCACAGCTGATAAATGAATGCAACATAAAACAAAATTTTAAAAAAGTTTCCTAGAGAAGATGTAAAATTGAAACAGAACAAAACAGAAGATATTTAATGAAAGTATATGTCATCTAGTGTTGAAAAGATTTACCTGACAGTTACATTTTGTTATCCTGTGTTGTGTCGCATAGTAGATCAAAGGCATGTGGGCAAATGTGGCTAACAGTAGCTAAGTCTCTAACTCAATATCATCCAAAGTCTTCAACATTGAAAACTCGAATTATTTGTCAATTTAAATCAACATTGATGTTGTGATCTTACCGAGAAAAGATGGGCTTCCAATATCCAATATTTAAGACAAAATAAACATTTTACCATTGATACACGAATCGTGTAGCATAGTGCGTTTCAGCGTCATTTGTAACAAGGGAGTCGAAGAACAAGGCTAGACGTATTCCACAATTGTGACGCCATATTCTTATCTGGAGAGCATGCGCAATTAATGCTGTCGGTAAACAATGGAATAACCAGACGCTAGAGATTGCCATTCGATTGAGACTTAGGGTATATTTCGCCGAACATAACTGATTAGAAATTAAAATTGGAAACAACTGAATTTAAATCAGTTTATATACATTCATATTACAATATTATATGCATTGCAACCCATTTGTGTCAATTTCTAGGTCCCAAATATTAGCGATTTAGCTCCTTTATGCTAAAGAGATATAACAACATGTACTGATAAATGGAGATGGTATACCAAATTTCATGTTTTGTTTCCCTTGTATTCAATCAATAATCTTTATGTCATTGAGTATGAATGATATTTCATTGTTTATAAACAGTAAATCTATGTACATATTATTGTTCAAATAGGGAAACTATTGCTGGAAAACCTTCTGGATTCTTTCTGAATTCTTTAAATAAGTCAATATTTGAAGAGCTAGCTACGTTCTTTTATAAGCTCATCTGACAATGCATTTATTATGGAGAACAAGGATGGTTTGTTCACTGTGAAATTTTTCTTTTCAAACATTTGGGTACATGCACGGTAACTGTTAGTCTATCTGATTTCACTATTATGCAAGTGTTTAGTTTAATTACTAGACAAAAGTGTAATTTCCTAATGTTAGTAATGATGTATTCAAACGTTTTTATACACCCACATTTTCATGTGGACGTATGTTGTTGTCGCCCCTGTCCATCCGTCTGTCCGTCCACAATTTGTTTCTGGACACTCTACAGGTCACAATTTTTATCAGATTTTTATGAACTTGAAATATAGGTCTATCCCCCAAAGATCTTGGTTCCTTTCGATATTGGCATGTATCGGACCATAATTTCATGGATTATGGCCCCTGATTGTACGCAAAATCATGTTTTAAGCTTGTGGACATTCTAGAGGTCACAATTTTCTTCCGATTTTGATGAAAGTTGGAATGCATGTTTATGTCCCAAAGATCTTGGTATAAATAGTATAAACATCTGTTATATCAAGGTTGTGGACCTCCTAGAGGTCACAATTTTGATCCAATTTTGATGAAACTTGAAATGCATGTTTATAACCCAAAGATCTTGGTTCCTTTCGATATTTGCGTATATCGAATCGTACCTTCCTGAATTATGGCCCTTGATTATACAAAAAATCACGTTTTGAGCATGGGTCCCTATAGAGGTCACAATTTTTATCTGGTTTAAAAAAAAAATGTGTGAATATATCACAGTTATACGCTAATGATGGTTGAGTTCAAATTTCGTGAAAATCAGACTAAAAGTGACGGACATAGTGGCCGCCCCTTGTACGCAAATTGTGTTAAAATATGGTATATCAAGGATGAAACTTTAAATATATGTATTTATCATAAAGATCTTGATTCCTTTTGATAATCACACATATCGGCACATAACTTCCTGGATTATGGCCCCTGATTGGTCGAAAAATCGCATTTTTAGCTTGTGGATTCTTTAGAGGTCACAATTTTTTTTCCATTTTTAAAAACCATTTAGATACATCACCATTCCACCAGAGTGAAGGTTGAATTCGAATTTCGGGAAAATCGAAATGAAACTGCCCGACAAAATGGCCGCTCTTTGTGCGCAAATTGTTTAAGTATGTAATACCAAGGTTATGGACCCTCTAGAGGTCACAATTTTTATCTGATTTTGATGAAACTTAAAACAAATCTTTATATTCCAAAAATCTCAGTCCCTTTTGATATTTGCGCATTTCAGACCATAACTTTCTGGATTATGGCCCCTGATTGTACAAAAAATCATTTTTGTTTTTAGTTTGTTCTCTATCCATCTCTTGCAAAATGTGGACGTATCCTGCCTGACAGCCGCTGGTTTGAATAGACATTTGCTACTTCTTTTTGATTTAGACATATCAGCCTACATATAGAGTGTCACAGGAAGAATCTTTGGAAATTTAAAACCCAGATTTCATTTGCCTGTGGGTGGACTCAAGGGAAGTGCCTAGTCAATTAATGGTTTTAAATTTTGAACACCATCCATGCACACATTTGTGTGCACATAACCTATGACAGTTTCTATTGAAGTATAAGTATGTGGAAATGTTGCTGGTGATTCTCAACCATCATATTGTTAATCGTAATAACATGACCCAGGCAAAGTGGTCAATGAGATATTAAACCCCATTCCATTCTATTAAATTTCAGTTTTAGATCAAGAGTAAAAAGTCAACCCTACAATGTGAACTATGCACACTTGACTGACAGAACCTGCTACTCTCCAATAACAACTTATAGAGATATACTTAGAAATATTACATGTGACCGACAGGACATGGCATTAAACATGTGTCAAATTTAGTAATGTTGTTTCACACCCTACTACATGATAACAGAAATGTTTTACACCTGCCCTAAATTCCAACCATTATCTCATCTATTTCTTGTAGCTATTATATATATTTTTGGTTCGGATATTGAAACAAACAATAAACAAAACAATATCACACTAGAGATCACAGTTTTTATCTGATTTTGACGAAAATCACCCACATAGCTTGTGGACCCTCTAAAGTTAGTAGATTCCTTGCTGACAAGACGAAACCACACTGATGAATCCTGAGGTACACCATACACACTGAGCCACAGTGGCCTCCCCAAAACTATAGGGGGCATCACACAAAGCCTAAAATGGACCTGTTAAACCAGTTGTACAGGAAAGATTAGCTTTAATAATATAGTCATAAAAACAGCTTATAGTTTTATCTTTGTGAAAGTAGGAAAGAAAAAATAGGTATGGTTGCCCTAGAAGTGCTAGGAGCCAAAGGGTGGTACTTGTTATGTTATATTTGTCCTTCATTAATATTCTGTCATTTTCCTCTTGAATGGACGACAGTCAACTCCTCAACATACTCATTGAGTTTATTTAACTGTTACTTTATAGGATATTAAATAGTACAAGGTCATCTTAACATTAAGTTGTTCATTATAGAATGACCTGACGAAAACAAACTTTTAAGTGCATCAGTAAATTCTTGTACTGGTAAAAGCCTTGTTAAAAAACTGAAAATCATTTAAATTTAACTTGAATGATTTTCTTTTTATTTCAGTTAAAATATTATTTAATGGCAGAAAAAGTGAAACATGATGATGACGTCACTGGCATCCCTGGCTAACACCATTTTACTTATGTGAGTGGATGATATGAATCACTCTGTCTCTCCTCTACCTGAGCAAAAAAAAAAATAAATTGTCCTTTTATTTACATAGTTTTTATTAATTTGTAGATAAAAAAACATTTAATGACATAAATTATGAAAGATTATACAAATATTACAACATATGGGAACAAATATTTATTGCATATTATGAGTATTACTATTACATAATACCAGAGATATAGGCACATTGTACAAGCAAAATTACATATGTAATTAAGATATTGAATAGGAGATGAATTTCATACAAGAAAATTCATGTCATTTTATTAACACCGGAAATATTTTAACTTATTTAGGAAATTGAAAACATGTTTGATATTACAATCTTTTTCATGTAACAAACTGTAATTTAATGACCAAATAATAAAGATATACATAGGCAATACATGAACCTGTGATCAAATTTATGGTTGCATTTCTCAATGAAAATAGCAAACTTTAGTCTAAATTACCATATATTTGCAAGAAGTATCTGCTAATTTCTGTTTGAAAAAATCAAATTTGAGGGATTTAGCTGGCCTGTCAATTTTTTTTTAATTTGATGTGTCCTGCAAGACTGTACAAATGAATGGATTACATCTAGTTTTAACTGCATGATGATTTGAAATATAAAGCAATGATACAGATATAGCTGCCTTTATATATTATAGAAATAAATGTACAGATTATTACCCTATGAATAGTAGTAATTGGTCATTATAAATCATGTGCAAGTCTATAAGTATCTATAACCTTATCTGAGTGCTTAATTTATCTATAGCCATATACAAATATATAGTCCTATAGTCCAAGTAAGATGATGATGATCTTGAGCAAGAATTAGTTATGTAGAAACGCCCCCCCCTCCCTTTTTTTGCGGTGGCGAACAATTTGGGAGAAAGGAGAACAAAAATACTTAAAAATAGTAGTGATCCCCATCGTTATTTACTCCGAAACGAGCCAGTTGGTGACTTGGTTGATTGCCCATCGGTCCTCCCACCGAGGGCCGGGCTTTGCACTCTTAAACCCCCTTTCTGAAAATCCTGGATCCGCCCCTGTACATGTATGTGTTACAGTCAGCATTTTATAAGAAACAGTTATTGGCTTTATTATCAAAATCAAATTGGCATCATTGGTCACTTAATAAAATTTTACTAATATAATAAAGTTAAAAATTAGCAAGACAATTGGCAGATATTATTTAGTTTTGACTAGAAACAAATTAAAAACATAACAACAAAAGAAAATAAAAAAGAACAAATAGTATTTATACAAAGATATATTTACGAGTACAATGCTTACATGGCGCAAACTTATACAAAAGGAATGAGATAATGTATGCCTTATAAAGATAGTGTAAAACAAAAAATGCAATGGAACCTAAAGGGGGCCGACAATAATGGGCACTGAAATTAATGAAACCAGTCAAACCCTTGTTTAAAGTAGGTGGTTTCTAGTAATATTAGCATGATTACATCACTGTTAGTTCAGCAACGAATTTGATTAGCCCACTAAATAATTAATCACTGGTGGTAATTGTATTTTCTTTTTTAGGGGTGTTTTGTTTACAACAGAACAAATAAGAGTACTGCAATAAAGGGGGCCGACAATAATGGGCACTGAAATTAATGAAACCAGTCAAACCCTTGTTTAAAGTAGGTGGTTTCTAGTAATATTAGCATGATTACATCACTGTTAGTTCAGCAACGAATTTGATTAGCCCACTAAATAATGAATCACTGGTGGTAATTGTATTTTCTTTTTTAGGGGTGTTTTGTTTACAACAGAACAAATAAGAGTACTGCAATAAATGTGACTGGTGATAACACATTCATTTCTTTCTTGCATCAGTTTCTTACTTTACATTAACTTATATTACAGTATTGTATTATGCATTATTCCTGGCAAGTAGCCCTTTTGTACGAGTTCCAAAAACCTGCGACTAGTCTTAATTAAGACTACCATTTAGAATAATTTCTATGAATGTAAAAGTATTATTGCACATTATAAAATGAATACTGAATAAAAAAAAAAGCATTTTGAAACTAAATGATTTAAGTAGTCTTAGGAATTAGCTGACCAAATTTTACTAAAGATGGATTGTATATCAAATAATTAATTGAATATAAAACAGTTAATGAATCAATATGTAGGCTATGTTGATGATATCCAACTGATTCAGTTGTACCTTCAAAATACATTTGTATATATTGTTTATTTCCATTATGATTTTATCTAGATATATTCCATTTTCTAACAGTCAGAAATTTAAAGTAAACAATATATGAAGCACTGCAGTTTTTAAGGCTTAGATATCTAAATATGAACATTTTATATCAATGGTTATGTAATGAAATATTGAATCTTATACACCAGTTTCAACTTTATGTGGTAGGTGCTCCATGCCATTGACGTGTATTTGATAGTTGCCGTTTGGTGGACCCAGTAGTGCTTTTTCGTGAGATGTTAAATATGGTCGATCAATAACTGTAATGTTATCATAAGGTTTGTCGTCGTCAACAGGCACATATTTTTTGGGTTTGTTTACCACGGCATAGAGATCTGTAATGTTATCGGGGGGTTGTACGACCGGACTGTTCTCAGTTTGTTTTATTTCTTCAAGTGATTCGGGAGGAGGGGGTGGGGGGAATTCATAATAATCATCATCTGGATTAATGTAGGGTTTAACTAGTTTTACAGGTTGACCTGGAACCGATTCTTCAGATTCTGAATTCATTGGTGTAACCATAGCAACAGGCTGGGAAAAGGTTACACTTTTACTACGTTTGCTTGGTGGGGTTTTGGTGGGAAAAGGATTTATAGATGATGTGTTGGCTGGCAATGTTTTATGTCCAATTAATTCTCGGTCGTCAATGGACATGTAATCTCTTTGTGGACCATTGTGATGTATCAAGGCCTGACCTTCGATGTCGTCCATCGCCTTGACGTTTGAAGTATCATGGTCAGTTACGATATCTGGGGGATACGATTCACGAAATGTCTGATTTCCTGTGGGGCAATCAGAGAAGTTTGACATTTTTAAAGGACTTCTGCTAATCGAACAGTAATGGTCATCATCATAGTCATAGTGATGGTAGGAAGTGCTTTCTAACTGTGCCGGTGGTATGGCAGGATAAAGCTCAACTTTAGTTGGTTTGTTTTTCTCTTTTCGTATTCTGAAAAATAGAAAGCAAATTGATATAATGGACCAAAATGGAACTTGCGGTTATGTCTGACTGGATGTTCACCAAATAATTGATCTTTAGAAATATATTCTGTTGAGTATAATTAAGCCAACAATTCTACCTATTCAACTTTTACTGTTAAGTGTCATATTTTTAACGACAGGGGAAAAAAAAGATTACAGTCTAAGTTTGCATAATAAACCATTCTTCAACCATTTGTTTATGAGTTGATGCTGTAGTCACATATTTTATATTTATGGCACTCATTACTAACACCCTCATCATGTTTTTGGCGAAAACTGTTTTTTATTTCCTGTTGATCATGTATGTATTTTGGACAACTACTGTCTGGAAATATGAATTTTCGCCTCGTTATTGATAGATAACTACTTTATGATTGAATTTATATTTGTAGCGAATTATAAATTTAATAAAACCTTACTCACCGTCTGCAGTGTACAGCGATAGCAATTATTACGATGGTAAATATAAAGAAAGCGGCAACCACAATACCACCAACTATAGCAGCTGAAAAATAAACAAATATATATGTAAATATGCTACAATTTTATATTTATATGATATCCCATTTGTAATTTAACATTTTTGACAATCTTATATATGCCTTGTTTGCAATTCGGTAATTGATAATATATACAGCTAAAAAGGTCAAAGGCTGTTAATGAAAGAATGAATTCATGTAGAGTGGACAGAACAAATATTCTAAAGGAAGTATTATACAGAAAATAAGTCTTGATCGCATTTTGGGATCGGCTGAATATCCACATAGGATCGGTTGTTATTATGCCTAGAATAATAATTATATATGTAAGATTAGGTAATTTAAATAGGCAACATAACTTAATAGGCCAAACTGACCAAAATATATTGGAGAGTTTCAATTTATTCCTTAGATGTATTGAGTAAGACTTTTGGATTTTATACTGTGGCAACAATAAGGTTGGGGCAGCTTGCTTTCACAAAATTATATCTTTTCATCAATTGCTTGATGGATTTCAACCAAATGTGGTAGTTGTGTCAATTGTGTGTGGTTGTCCAGGTTGTCCAAATACAGTTATGTGGCTCCAGAAAGTTATGGGCAGCTTAAAGGTGTAAATGGTTGCTTATCCTTAAACTCTTGAGGTGTTTCAGCAAAATTTAGAAAAATTATTTGCAGGGAAGTACTTATTCGGATATGTTTCTAACAAGATTTTGTTCAGATCATAATGTCTTTTCTGGTGTTTTTGAAAATATTTGTGTCTTTGATTTTATCAAGGAAGTATAGTATCCATATTCTCAATCTTAAAGGTACATTCCCAGATACAAACTGGGTGATTTGATGATATATTTGGACTAAAAACATATTCAAACTAATTAATTTATCATAATTTTGCTTCAAATCCTTCTCAAAACATTGCAATTGTCAGGGAATAGCCGGCTATAAAAAAATCGATCAAAAGAGGTCAAGCTTGTGTCACGTGACGCAACGGGTGCGAAGTCGGAGGAGAATTCATTGCATACACAAGACGATGTTGCCTTTATCGCTGACTATTTATTACAAATATCAAAGCTTAATTAAATTCTCGGATTATCCGCTGCCCGCGTCTTTTTCCATGATTTTTATCTCCGAAAGTGTTGTAAGTCTAACTCTTCATAAAGTTTGTCAACATGTGACAACATGTTCATCAAGCGCTCAATCTCCGCGTGCAACCTTCGACGTCACACGTGCAGACACTCCTAATCGTTGGGCTGTCGATTAGGGAAACGCGTACATTTTTGTCCTGTATTTGCTCCATGAGTGTTTTTCAGGGAATCCATTATTTTTCTAGTAAGATTGGACATAGTCACCCTATAAATACTTTTCTGGGAACGTAGCTTTAAATGATGGGGGACATCTAACATATTTTCTTTGAAGACAACGTTCATATCACGTGAACTGATTGATATATCAAATAGTCTGTATTGTGGTGAATTATGGGAATTTTAAAACCAATCACTTTAAGAATGGAGCAGATGAGTATTGGATTATGGTATGAAAGGTTATTAACATAGTATTTTCACTGACAGAACAAAGTTGTGTTAGAAAGTTGGTAAGATTACAATGTAGTGTAAAAATCGGGGTTAAACTGAAACAAAATTATAATTTAGGTCTAAATAAACTATTTGTCTTTCTGTGTATAAATAGATAAATATAAAGGTTGGATGTGTCATTTGCATTTTCACTAAAATATCAAATTTCTCGCGTCTTAATACACACAAGAAGCATTGATCGATGAAATTTCAATTTATCGTAGCTTTGTAAATACTGAATGGAATTGAACCATTCTGATATTCCTATTAGAAATTAAACTTTCACAATAATGAAGTTTGCTAGAGATTCTTATAGTGCTAAATGATGCATCAAGCCTTTAAGATGAATGTCACTGAATATGACACTTACCCATATCTGAAGATAATGAATTAGGACCATATGATGATGCTGGGCGATTTGGGCTAGCTCCGACTGTGCTTGTTTGACTTGTTTTAATTATATCAGCATCAGCACGTCTTGATTCTCCTGATTCATGTGATCCAACCAGCAGTTTATGTAGTGCCTCCCCACAGTGAATCTGGACATAGTCGTTTGAATTGGTGGCTAACAAGTATGAAATATTAACTGATTAATGAAATGATAAAAAACAGTTAGTTTAATCAAGGATAGAGCTGTATCATGTTCACAGATGTTATATATTTGATATGTAGACTTGGGGAATAACTCGACTATTTGCAATTTAAAAATACATGTACTGAATATCGCTAGGGTTTCAACTTAAGCCCCAATCTACAATCCTACCAAGTTTTAAGAATTTCCATAAAGAACTTGTCCTGCATCATGTTCACAAGTTTGAAAAGTCTAAATATGACCCAAACTGTTGTATAATTCACTAGATTATATAAGTGAAGACAACACTGAAATTTGTGATCAATATAATTTGAATTTTAATAAAATTCTTTATTACGAACAATTAATAATCCTATGACTTGTAGAGTGTTCACGCCAGAATGACGGATAACGAAGAAGACAATATTTGTCCACATTAAAAGTGGGCTCATAATAGAAGTGATGATAACTAGAACCCCAATCAAAGTGTTATAGTGCTATAATAGAGTTATTTTAAACTATTGCTGATTGCTATATACATTTATTTAAGCTAGGCCATCAGTTCAAAACTTGTAAAGATGTAAGATGTAAGATGTTTATTTTGGAAAAAAAAATCCTAAAATAAGTTGACTTATTCTTTTCAATGAAACTTGGAATTTAGAGATATTTGTTTGAAGATATTGTTGTTAAAAGGGAGATAGTAAAGATAATCTTGGGTTAAGTAGCCCTACCTTTTACTTCCAGCCAAACAAATGCTGTTCCTTCACCCCGTGCATTTTGAAGTTCTATTGACACATTATTAACAGTTCTACTATACACAGTTCTATACCCGAACCAGCCTCGATGACCACATGTTATATCCTTTTCGAAGGCATGTTTATCAGTAATATGAATACTCCTAGAACATGATTGAAGTCCAAACTCTGCACGAGCAATCAACACATCAATAGAATACAGATTAATCCCGTTAGAGAATTCTGTCGAGGCAACACATCTACACGATGGCTTCATGGAAGTGAAAGCTTTAGGATATTCTTCGTTAGCCAAATACAACACTTTTCCTCTTTTAACATCATCAGAACAAAATGCAGCTATGTCTTGTACTGAAAGAAGAAAACATGTATGATTTATTTTAATAAAAAAATGAATTTATAGAAAATCTAATAATCAACAACAATGTTCTGCTCAGTGGTTAATGCTTAACTCCTCCACATTGTTATTGTTATAACTTCTGACTCTGCCAAACATAAGGCTTTAGTGTTTGGCATGCCATGTTTTAATGATGTATGCATTGCACAGAGGATTTGATGTGTCAAGGGAGATAACTCTATCTAGCTTGGATATGGCTGGTCATACTGCTTAGGTACTGTTTCGATGTCATTTTCAGCTTATTTCCTACTTTCTTGAAGCACGATTCATAACATTTTATAATAATGTGCTGGGTTATCTGTAGCTAAGCATTTATTTGCTTTTAATATATATTTCATGGAGTAGATTGGTATTTTTTTATTGCCCTTATAACCAAAATAATTTAATACTTTTCAAACTTTCATTATAATGCTTACTTGGAACACAGTCATATATTACTGTCATATAATCTGTATAATCTCTGTCTGTGTGACAAGCTGCAGATCGAATAGGAATACTCTCAACAATAACACTACACTTGTCACGTCCAGAACAACGTTGATTCATTTTAGGATATAAACTTTCATCAATTTCTCTACAGTCATTTTGAGTTGCACGACAACAATCTCCCAACTTTCTGTTTTTACATCTCTTGGCAGTATTTACTCCATGAAACAGCCGTTTAATTGCTATTCGTTGATTCTTTGGACACTGTAAATTTAAGTAGTCATTGTTACATGCACTTGCATAAATATTTTGTCTGGCATCGGCACCACCTGAAAAATATAATTGATAAAATATGATTAATGTATTGGGGTTGGTGACATGTTCCAAGATTTCATGCCTTATAACATAAGTACCTATCTTACTTGCTCAAGTCATAATGGTAGAAAGTTATAGTTGGGATTATCAAATCACTAATATAATTGAACAATCAAGGGCGTGGATTTGTCATAACTTTGGGGGGGGGGGGCGCGGACGAACCCTGGAACCTATCATTACCAAACCAAAATAATAATTCCGAACAGTTTACCAGTGTTATTTCGATGAAAGCTGTAACTAGGGGTAATATGATGATGATATGGTAAAACTGAGTACCTACAATTAAGGAGGGAGATATCGTGAAGATGAATTACTGTGGCGAGACCCAAGGCAGTGGTTAGATAGCCTTCACAACGGGACATTCATGTGGATATAAACCTGAAAATCTGTCCTGGCGATCAAAATCACAGAGACCTATTCATCCCCCCCTTCCGATTCCAAGGGGGGGACCCGTCCCCCCCATCCCCTCCTAAATCCACGCCCATGAGAATAATAACATTTTTAAAATGAGGTATGTAACCCTGTTATGCAAACTTAGTGCATTTATCTGAATGACTCAATATTTTTGGATTTCAACCTATCAGACAAGATAACTGGTCTATTTCTTCACATTTTAAACATACATTATGCAAGAGCTAAATCCAACTATTTCAGGTCTTTCTTTAGGCCTGAAATGTGTTCTAAATCATTAATTAGACATTAATTAACTTATCCAGACCATAATCAACTCTCGATGGCATCGGATTTCTCCGATATTAAATAGATTAGAACAGTTCAGCCATATTTTGATTTAAGCTAAAAATGGAGGAGCGAGACTTAGCTTCAAACAATTTTCACATTATTCATGTTAGATTTATTTTTGAACTATTATTTTGTCTAAATCTAACATAAAATTTTGTATAGCTCATAGAGATTGAAGCACAACAGAAAAAAATATTCTGATTTTCCCTCCCAAAGGAAAAATTATTATAAATAATATGCGTGCTATGAAGGTGTTTCTACAAGACATTCTCCAGACAAACTTTATTTAAGAACAAATAGTCTTGTCAGAAATAGAAAGAACTGTAGGTATTCCAAAGAGAAAATATCAACCATTATTATTCCTAATCGACAAGAACATGCAAGTCGACTCTACATTAAACTAGAACCACTGTAATCTGTTTCTTTTATGTATTCCATTAGTTGCTGTACATTATAGATACTAGTTACCATACTCCCACTTGTCTGTATTATGTAGCTTACATAGTAAATAAAGGTTTGGATACGATTTAAGCCAATTATTGGCCTTGGAATCATTAAATTAGCAGACATTGTGTAAGAAATATGCAAAATGACTTCCACCACAGTATATCAAATACAGATGTACAGGTTGTGAGATAGCGTAACCTTCCCTGGTTTCAGGTTTAACCTAGAATACATTTATCGTGTTTTCAGTGGCTATTTTCGGCACTCGAATGCAGACCACCATGTGTCTTTACGTTTATTTCTTTAAAAGAAAATCCCCCAAATCTCTGTGTTCTATTTATTATAATAAATTTATTTCTTTACTATATGTGAAAATATGGTAACCATGAGTCACTGAATCAAGAAAACTGGTAATAATAATAGATGAAATTGAGACATATACGTTATGAAAACGTTAAATGTTTAAGTACAGAAAGGTAGATGGGTAAAGGAGCTAGCTTGGATTTAGGTAAAAATAAGCATTCAATTGGGGTTTTTTTTTCGAAAGATTATGTGAAAGTTAACAAATATAAGCTTCATTTTTTGGCTTAAGGTGTAGAGTGCGAATGCCCGAACACAATATTAGATACATCCCAATATTGTCTCTATCCAATCTTAAATTTTTTAATTAGTCAGATATCCATTTAGCAAAATAAATCAACACATCAAGTTTAATTGAATGGATACCCCTTCATTTTGTTTTACCAAATTTAAAGGCATCAAGTCCAGGCTTTTTTGTAATGACTAACAAAACTTATCATTATTGAGTGAAGGTTATATGAAAATATGGTATTTACACATGTACTGTACATTTAAAGTACAGATAATTAAAAATAAAAAAGCTTTTTAAATGTTGTTAAAGATGTGCCATCTTTTTTTGCAATGTTCAAGAAAACCGATCAATTGTAAATGAAAGCTTTATACATGTAAAAGAGTTGCCTTGTATTTCAAGTTCAGACACTTTTCTATGATACACAACCTGCTTTTAAAGAAAGTTCTGTCAAATATATCATTAATTATACCACTTTGTGTTGGTCAGCTACAAATAGAGAGACTAAGACTTGTTTCAATTTTAATTCAATAATTCGCTTGCGCGTAGGGGTCTTTAGCAATAGGAGGAAACTGGAGGACCCGTAGAAAACCAACGAGGTTGGACAGGCAACCCTACTCCTCGTCACATACAACCGGGAATTCGAAACCACGACAGTTGACTCAATGACAGACCTTATGATTCAGTGCGCACATGCTAACCATTGATATTCGGGTTGTGTTATACTTGTAGAAAGGATATGTTGACATAATTACTTGCATTATTTAAAAGATAGGTTGCCAGGCAACGAAACATACGCCCACAGCAGCTAAATCGTCCGGGGAGTCAACAAGAGATGTTTACTTTTTTCGGTAATTAAACATTTATAATACATTAAAATCTGATTAAGAGTAACAACTAATTAAGTAATTATCAGAAAACCATTAGAATTTGTTTGGTTTTTATAAAGTTCTGCCCTATGCTAATGTTTAGTATACAAAACTTTTAACATCATGGATTTAGTTGTTCAAGTCATAAAAATTAATTGAAAATCAATATACTTGTTCGTCTCAAGACCTTAAACTCTGTGTATCAATCTGAAGTCAATCGGATGATAACTTTAGCCTCTAGAGCGTCACAAGATTTTTCAAAGTTATCAAGGGCCATAACTTGGGCAGTAATTATCGGAAATCGGTGAAAAGCAATATGATTCTCCGTCTCATGACCTCAAACACTGTGTATAAATTTAAAGTCAATCGGATATTAACTGTAGCCTCTAGAGCATTTACAAGATTTTTTGAAGTGATCAAGGGCCATAACTCTGGCAGTAATTATCGAAAATCGCTGAAAATCAATAGGCTTCTTCGTCTTATGACCTTAAACACTGTGCATAAATTTAAAGTCAATTGGAAATATTAACTTTAGCCTCTAGAGCGTCCACAAGATTTTTCAAAGTGATCAAGGGCAATAACACTGGCAGTAATTAACGAAAATCGCTGTAAATCAATAGGCTTTTCGTCTCATGACCTTAAACATTGTGTATAAATTTAAAGTCAATCTGATATTAACTTTGACCTCTAGTGAGTCCACAAGATTTTTCAAAGTGATCAAGGGCCATAACTCTGGCAGTACTTATCAGAAATTGCTGAAAATCATTAGGCTTCTTCACCTCATGACATTAAACACCGTGTATAAATTTAAAGTCAATCAGATATTAACTTTAGCCTCTAGAGCGTCCACAAGATTTTTCAAAGTGATCAAGGGCCATAACTCTGGCAGTACTTATCAGAAATCGCCGATAATCAATAGGTTTCTTCGTTTCATGACATTAAACACTGTGTATAAATTTAAAGTCAATCGGATATTAACTTTAGCCTATAGAGCGTCCACAAGATTTTTCAAAGGAATCAAGGGCCATAACTCTGGCAGTAATTATCGGAAATCGCTGAAAATCAATAGGCTTCTTCGTCTCATGACATTAAACACTGTGTATAAATTTAAAGCCAATCGGATATTAACTTTGGCTTCTAGAACGTCCACAAGATTTTTGAAAGTGATCAAGGACCATAACTCTGGCAGTAATTATCTGAAATCGCTGAAAATCAATAGGCTTCTTCGTCTCATGACCTTAAACACTGTGTATAAATTTAAAGTAAATCGGATATTAACTTTAGCCTCTAGAGCGTCCACAAGATTTTTTGAAGTGATCAAGGGCCATAACTATGGCAGTAATTATCGGAAATCGCTGAAAATCAATAGGCTTCTTCGTCTCATGACCTTAAACACTGTGTATAAATTTAAAGTAAATCGGATATTCACTTTAGCCTCTAGAGCGTCCACAAGATTTTTTGAAGTGATCAAGGGCCATAACTCTGGCAGTAATTATCGGAAATCGCTGAAAATCAATAGGCTTCTTCGTCGCATGACCTTAAACACTGTCTATAAATTTAAAGTCAATCAGATATTAACTTTAGCCTCTAGACGGACGGGGGTTACGACAATATTTGACCACATTTCAATGTGGGCGTATAAAAATTTATGAAGCTTTTCCTGTGAACTTTAAGTCAGTATAATATAGAGATGTTTGTTTAAGACCAACAGAATCGGCTGTCCAAATTTATAACTTTTCAGAGTATGCCTATATGCCACATATTACATGCATTTTATGTATTGCATGTATTAATGTATCATATTATTTTATCCAACATTAAAAAAGGCAGTTCCAAATTTCGGCAAGTATATACATGTAGACAGTAGACATGGTTATTAATGTACTGAGGACCTATTGTCTATATACTGAAACATATTTCTTTGTAAATTTCAGAGCTTCAGATAATGGCACAGGCCTAGGATAATCTTCCTCAGAGTCTGCACACCAGTTTTGAATATTCAAATATATCTGGGGCGGCACCTTTAATTTCAGTGAGTATTTTGGAGGCACCCTTGCAATAATAGAGCATAAATCTATAAAGAATTGATTTTGCCTCTAATATTACTGACAAGCATTTTACCGGTAGTTTAAATTTATAATGTATGTCAAATTACCTGTCTCCAATAAAACTCTTTTATTACCTGATTCAGATGCATCATTTCACTAAAAGAAAGTGAATGTGCGACATTCTTGCTATGATATTAAAAGCCTACAGTACATTGACTGTGTTTTATAGCTCAAATGGCTACTATACAGAGGTCAAGTACAAT